GCAGGAGGAGGAGACCCAAAAACGTAACGACCTCGAGTTCTGCGTCAGACCCCGAAGGAACGACGCTCGACGAGGTACTTCTCCTAAACCTCTTGGCAGGCGAGGCTGGAGGGAATGGTGATGAGCCCTTGCACATTCACCCAAGGAAAATGCCCCATAAGCACCTTGGGAAGCTCGAGACAGATTCATCATCCTATGGGCTATTATGATAAGATCCACAGCACAGATATTGAAACAAGAAAGGCTACTTTGTATGTGTTTAATAATGAATGCATTATTGAATGGAGAACATATGCTTAGTCGTTCTTTAAATAGATAAAAGCCACGCTCGTTATTTTCGCGGCTAAATATCTCTTTCTCGTGAATATTTCATTGCTTCTTACACCTCAGATCTGACCAGCAGCACCGTAAGATCCAGTAAAATATCCCTGATTCAATTCTTGTCATCTCAGACCAAAGCTGACCTCTGAGAGCCTCATATACACGAAGCGTAAAACTCGACTTGAAACGCATCCCAAACATCGTTATAGACATCTTTTCACACATATTCGATACGTTTCGATTCGACACTCGAACCCTCGAACGTTTCGAGACCCTTGGCCCTAACAAAGTCGAATTGAAAAATATATTATTATCAATTTCGACTTCGGCCATCATAACGCGTGGGGATAGTCACGTGTTGGAACATGTTTGTGGTATGAAACATGTTCCAGACATGATAACTGCGTGAATTTTATCTCCTTTTATACGTGGCTTTGATAACTGTATTCGTTTGTACCATCTCCTCTCATTAGTTCTGTCTTTGAAAATCCTGGTTTACTAATGGGGTGCCGTGGTAATTCGTTCTGTATGAAGTAATATCGCTTATATAAAGGACTTTTCCTCTTTCTTCTTCCCTTCTAGTCAGCAATAGAAAAAAAAACTCCATTGCTGGCTGTACCTTTTGACTCTCCCCCTTCCTCTACCACAGCGGCGTTTCCCTTTCTGTTTTCATCAAGTATCTCCCTTGCCTCTATGCTTCTGAAATATGCGCTCGTGTACCATGAAACCGCCCATGAGAGACACTCCAGCTCACGTCCTGTCTTCGGCGAGTGGCTGTTGATCCTGGCGCTTCGTGAGGGTCGTTTCATCTCTGGCAGGATCCTTTCCCAATTATTCCTCACTTTCTCCTTTCCCTGTAATATGTATATGTATATGTATATATATATATATATATATATATATATATATATATATATATATATATATATATTATATATATATATATATATATATATATAGAGAGAGAGAGAGAGAGAGAGAGAGAGAGAGAGAGAGAGAGAGAGAGAGAGAGAGAGAGAGAGAGAGAGAGAGAGAGAGAGAGAGAGAAAGAGAGTTGTATATATATGTGTGTGTGCGTATATATATATATATATATATATATATATATATATATATATATATATATATATATATATATATGTATATATATATATATTCATATATTGTGTGTGTGTGCGCATTTATTGTTGTGTGTAAATATGTATTATATATATGTGTGTATGTGTGTGTGTGCGTGTATATATACATGTGCACATACATAGACACACGCATATATACATAAATGTATGTACGCACTAAAATTATAGTTTTAGACAGACAGATATAGAGAAATAGACACACACGATCCACGCTCTTCACACACACACTACAACCACCGAAGCGAACCCACAGCCGCCATTCGAATCACACTCCAACCCCCTTGCTCATCCCGTGCCCATTTTCAGTATTGTTTTGGTTGAAACAAAAGCAATTCATTGTTTTAGAAAAGAGTTCTACCCCGCTGCTTTGCCTTGCCAGGAGTTATTTTGGATAATGGTTGCATATTGCGTCTTGCAAGGCTCCACCTGCTGTTGGTGAGGGAGGGTTGCTGTCTTCTGTCTGAAAGAGGGGCGCCTTGTTTATTTCAATGAGCTGAATTTCGTTCTTTTTTTCTTTCTTTCTTTTGCGTGATTTCGTGTGTAGGTTTTTCTGATTTAATCTGTGTCCGTCTTTGGATCGTATCATCACTATTGTTTTGTTATAATTGTTATCATTATTGATGTTATTATTATTGTTGTTATTTTTGTTATTGTTATCTTTACTATTATCATTATCATATATTATCATTAAGAGTACTCTCATAAATATTATTACCATTATTATTACCATCATCATCGCCATTCTCATTGACATCATGATTATTAACTTTATCATCATCAAAACAATTTATATTGGAATTATTGTATTATCATTTTACTGTACATTAATTACACAGCATATCAAGATCAGTAATATTCTGTGTTGAATATACATCAAAACCGTCTCATTTCCTAGTTTTATAACATTATCATCATATTTTTGCACCAAAACTGAATTTCCCATAATCTAATTACATTTCACTTCATATCATTGCCTTTTTAGAAATCATTCTTATTTCTCAATTGCTTTAATGACCTTCCCGTCTCCTCTCTGCCCTCAG